GGAGCCTACGCTGAGCTCTGCTTTGCCAGGGTTGGCTCCCTGTAGACAATCATGAGCACAACCCACTTCCCATTTCAAGGACAGACTGTTCTCCCTTTGCTAGACCAGGAATGCTTAAGCTGATAACCTCTACTTATTTGCTCCCATCCTTGCTACTACTGAGTCAGAAAGAGGAGTGCAGTGAAACCAGAAGCTAAATCCATGATTTTTGCCTAGAAAAATCTTTGCATAGAAGTATCCTTGAGAAAGAAGAGCTTGAAAGAAAGATATGGAGATCAAACTAATGTTGTTGAGTTTTGTGGCAAAAAGTCACTATGCTCTCTCCCCGTTGCCATCAGACTCTTGTGTTCAGCCACAGATCTGGCTGCTTGTCCCCAGCAAAACTATGAGTACACGCAGCAGACTGACCCTGCCACTCCTCCTTTTGTGCCAGAGCTGCAATGTACAGCTCTCTGTACATCCTTCACAGCATTATTTGTAAAGTTTAAGATATAAACTCTGGACCATCAAGAGAGATATTTGCTGAAGGAGTACAGTGACTTCTTCTGTGCCTTTCCTTTTGATTCATTTATCCCGTGGAAGCATGGATATTTTAATGGTCCATTTTGTCACAATGCTGGATGTTTTCTTGCAAATAAGTGTTATGAAAGGTGTTCTTCAAGCACCTTCCTTAGCAGAAATCCATCCTTTTCTTAAGCAGCTCTTCTTCAGAATGGCCTATCCCTGAAAGCTGAGGTTTGCTCTGGGTCTTTAAATGAAGCACTTCAGATTAAGTTGTATTTATTGAAAGCTCTCAGCCAAAGTTTTTCTTCTGGGATGAAGCAAGGTTATGAGAGGATACCTGCAAAAACCCTTAGGTACTTCTTGTTTCTAACTAGTTTCATCTTCCTGTCTCATCTTTCCTTAGAAGAGTGTGATATAGGTGGACTGCCTAATTCAAAGTCAGCATCCATGGTTCAGGCTGGGTAGATCCTAACACTAAAATGTGTCCTTACCTCTTGTCACAAACAATGCACATCTGCATTCAAATATACCTCACGCTCTCATACTAAATGCTAGATTCACCTTTGAACACATCATACCACAGGATGCAGAAGTTCTTCCCTGCAAACACAAAGCTAGTGGTTTGCTCTGTAACAACAGTCTGCAATGGAGAAAGCTTACCTCAGCCTAGTTTGAGCTTTGGCTGTGCTGTTATCACATGCAGTGCACATGTGTACATACAAACATGCCATTTTCATCCAACAAAGGATTAATCTTGAATTACCAGATCTAGCAACTCAGCAGAAATCATGGACAAGAGCATGAGCATGCAATGGTTTCTAACACACCAGAGTCTGGCAGCTAGAGACAACTCTCACCTCCATCATTTTTTCCTCAAATAAAAACACGCCTTCAGAATACTTCTCACAACCCAACACTGATTTTGTTTCTCTATCCTAAAATCAGTGAAACAAGCAAGGACCAGCATACTGCCCATCTCGGAGACACAGTGCTCCACGTTTCTTTCTCCACAGGGCTCGTATCCTAAGTCTGTTTTATCTATGTACTTTATGTACTCCATTTAGATGACTTTTCTCAGGTATGTGAATAACTTGGATATCATCACCTCATCCTCTCTTGAGAAGAGCTGCTACCCCTACTTGCTGTGGGAAAAAGAAGGACGAAAGAGCTCACGGACTTGTAAGCAGTGGCACAAGACACCTCAGTCTTGCTTTGCAATTAGCGGAGAGCTCATCAATACCTACCTTTGCCCATCAAAATTATCTCCTGGAATTTTTTTCTCTTCATTGACTGTAAGAGGAGATCTCTGTGACAACTTCAGCTGCACTACAGGCATATAAATCTAACAGTATATCCCACCCAGGAAGTCTGTTAGCAAAGAATTGCTCAGTCAGAGCTAGCCAGGAGAGACAATCTTTCCTGTTTAATTGTTTCCCTGAAGCCACATGCACTGCAAAACACATGGAGGAAGAAGGGGACAGAAATTATGCAATCACATCAGGGCTTCCTTTATCATTTTCATTACCTATCAGATTTAATATTTGCAAAGCTGCCCTTGGACTGAAACAAACAGCTTGCTTTGATATCTAGATGCAAATATCGCTGCTAAGTGTGCTGTAAATGGATTTTATTGCTCACTCCAAAGCCACCATATATTAGCACAGTAGAGTTAAAAGTCTCAGCTGGAGGCTTTCTGTGGGAGAAAGAAGAGCAGAGCAGGATCACCCAATCTGCTGCCAGACCAACAGCGGGGCAGAGGGAAGCCTGTTGCACACAGACAGGCACTTGGGCTGCATCCTAAGGGAAGTTTAGCAACCAGCCAGAACAGTGCAAACCTTTTTGTGCCCTCCAGGGTTTGACATGGAAATTGAATAACAAATTGGCCCAAAAGGAAACAAAATAGATGGGGAAGCTCAGGTGCAAACAAACAAACCTGCTTACAACCAGGAAACCGCACAGCAGCATTTCTCAAGCCTTGCATATCTACGTCTGCTTCTGTAAACCTGCTGGCAATGTTCCAGATGCACACAGATATCTGGAGATGTATGGGGGACCGGGGAAAATGCAATGGACAGATTTTCTGGATCCACCAATCTCTTTTAAAACAGAACACAAAAAACAGTCCATGGCATGCAGGGTATTTAGCACAGTGCACAGTAAATCATACTTGTGAATTCTAAATAAACTCCCTTGTACCTTTGTGACCTGCAGCTGCTTGAGCACCAAAAAAAGGGCAAGAAGCGATCGATGGCACGGGGCTCACCTGGCTCTGACAGGCACACACGGATCAGTGTCAGCTGCCCTGATCTGCATGGCTCAAGAAGAGACTGCAAACCTGTGCCACAGGAAGGACCTACAGCTCTCAGAGCCAGGGAAAGGAAACACATTCCTTGAAAGAAAGAAAAAAAACAAAGTTTCACGTAAAGTAATAACAAGCAAGCTGCTCTTGACCGTGAACAACGTCATCCTAAACCTCAGCTTCCCCTGAGCAGCCAACGAATGTACGCCAGGAATTCAGAAAACGGAAGCATCTGAAACCTTGCGGGCGATACTCGTGCACCGAGCGCAGCGCAAACAGCTGGACGCCAGCTGGGCCGGCAGCGCAGCGCCGCGCAAGCAGCGCCTCGGCGCACAGCGCCCCCTGGCGGCCGGGAGCCGCGCCGGGCTCCGTTCGGTCGCCGTGCGGCGCGGCCCCCCGGACAGCTCCGGTTAGATTAGACGGGTAAATGATCCTTCAGCGAGCTCTAATGCTAACACTGATTGCTCATGGAAAAGGGCTTAGTGACATTTAAGAATCTCAGAGATTTTAGCACACAAACAAAAGGTACGCCCATCAAACTCACGCTCACTACCACACTCCGGCTCCTTTGCTCCTGCAGCTTCAATAAACCTTCTTTAGCTGACAGACTCAAAAGCAACCTGCAAAGAAAACTCTCGTGACTCCCACACAGCCCAGCAGTGCATTGGGCTGATGGCAGTGTGACCTGTCCTGTTAACATGTACCCCAGCACGGTGACACAAGGATCCACAAGGAAATCCAGACCACAACTTTCTGTTCTTCACCATAGAAAACAAACCAGGAAACCTGCAGCCCTCCCACCTGGCGCTGTGGCAGTGCTGAGTGCGTGCATGGCAGCCCACAACTAGCACAGCAATTACTGCTCACACAGCAGCTCCCACTGATGCTAACCGTACCCATCCACGAAGCAGTAACAACATTTTGAGTTGGTGGTTGAGAACCTCCAGACGTGTTTTTGCTAATAAAAGTTAAACAGGAACATAATTCATTTCATCTGCTTTGCTCCTTTTCTCGATTTCAGATGCTGAACTTAAGAAAGCAGGTTCCTTGCCAGCACACCAGATATAACCTCAACCACCTCCATCACCCACAGCTTTCACATGGACACAATGAATTCAGTCACTACATTACCACTCTGTGCAAAATGGGTGTCATGTTTCAGAGGTTAAAAGTACTGCAAGTTTCAACCGCTTACACAAAGGAATACTGAATATAAATAAGTACACTATTTGTATAAATACTTCCTCAAAAAGCTCAAGTTAGAGATACCAGATCGGGTGCAATACTCCAGCAATGCAGCACATTTTCCTGTACATGCTGTATTAAAATGGTAAACATGCGTGACTGCCTCAGATTAATTGAAACACTTCTGGGAAGGGTCACAATCAGATTTTACACTGTTATCTATGGTTAAATATACTTGTCACAATGAAACCATTAAGTTTGATCCTGTATTGAAGTGACTATTTTAACAGCATTGACTGTTAGACACCTCTCTCTTGCTGTTTCCATTATGCACCATTCTGTTCCTCTTATCTAATGTACTTTTAGTACCTCAAGAACTTCTGCTGAGGGGCAGATACGGAGAAACGAGTACTGCTTTTGCTCTACTGAATGGCTTTGCCTCTTCAGTCCTACAGGGCTAGAAATCCTTGTTAGTCACATTCATACCAATGTTCAAAGAAGTGAAATCACCGACAGCAATGAGTAAAGTCTTATAATAGCACAAACTAATCTGCTTTACAGCTTTTATCACAGTTGTACTTTGATAGGCTGGTAAGTTTGTAACTTGGAAAAAAGCATAAGCAATACATCAGGCCATAGCTGACCACATGGAGCATCTAAAGGTGCATTTGTGCAGTTGTAGCTGTGTATGCTACAACTGCAGATCCAGATACTGTGTCACAGTATGCTGGATTTTAACAAGTCTCCCTCTTCCACAGGAACTTCAGTAATAGCATTCAAGCCAGCTAGTTTAATACTAACTTGTGCATTTTTGTATGGTATTGCTGTGTGGGTGGAGTTACTCATGGATAGAATGGTAATCAATTTTAATTTGAAATTAAGTATAGAGTTTTGCTACACTATATTACTAAAAAACAAAAAAAGGGAAGGACTGAGATTCATATATATGTTAGTTCCAGCTTGATATTGCTGACATATGCCCCAAAACATCCAATCTCTATCACAAGGACTTCAGTGGGCAACACCCATATACAGGACTTGTAGCAAATTCTGGACATACACACAAAACATCTCTGAATACTGTGGGAAGGAGAGGTATTTTATAACTTCAGTGAAAACAACTATTCAGGGGCAAAGCACAGCAGTATTTACTGACTATATGGAAAATCTGCATTCATGAGTGAGCATGAATCAGCCCAAAAGCTCACTGAGTCAGATGACTTATGTGTTTTTCATAGTTGCAGCCCTGACAATAATTACGTATCCCTTTTCCTGCCTGTCTTAAAGAAAATTCTCATTTCAGGTAGTTAATATGCACAGATTTATGTGAGAGAATGAAGCCAACACATGACTAGCTTATTTTGCATATCACAAGAGTCAATACAGTAATAAAATGAAATGTACAAGTACAAAATGTATAGAATTTATCTTGCACAGAACTAAATATCTTTTTTCCAAAATGTTTTTTATGAACTCTAGAAACTACCACAGATCACCAGTTTTGCTACTTTCTTCAGCATTTGGCCTTCTTTGCAACAACCACAATTCCCTTCCTTTGAAAAATGCACACAAGACACAAAAGTTGTGCTCAACAGGTTTACTCAGACTGGACTCTTAAATGCTCAAGAAAAAGGCACAGATTAAAAGAGACTGTGATGACTCTTTCTAACACAGCAAATGGGATTTTGTTTATAAGAAAAAAAAACTGCAGTGAATTGTATGGGCTGAAAAATTCAAATATTCTTCCCTGTTCCTAATCATTGGCCTTCATTAAAATGGAATTTAAATTAAATTGTATAAACATATGAAATAAAGTCTCAGTATTAGGAAGTTTTTTCTTTTGTTTCACCTATGTACAAACCTTAGTATACAATTTTTACTTTTCATTATACATTTACTACATACTCTTTCCAAGCAGAGTAAGAGCAACTGCAAAGTATGTGTTTCAAAAAACCGCTTTGCATTCAGAACGAATCCACCTGCTTCCATGGCGGGCAGAGCCAACCAGAACCTAGGAAGAGATGACAGGGGATCCACTCAGATGTAATCATCCTCGACTGGCTCGCCGTTGACGTCGCAGTAATGGATGAAGATAGCCACCACACGCTGGAATACGCCCTTCTTCATCTGGCGCAGTTCAGAGATCTCTTCTCCTATTGTTTCCATACAGATGTCTGCAGACAGCTGTCCTTTCCTCCGGGGTGCATAAATAGTAGCTGTGGAAATTGTAAGAATAAAAACTGTAATCCTTCGTATTACGGAATTCATAGATTTATTTTGCCTTCCCCTCCCCTCATTTAAACTTTTCAATAGCTCTAATCCTCATTTAATATACACTAAGTCTCTATGCCTGTAGGTGAAGGGAACCTGAAAGCATAACAAAGCCTTCCTCCTGAGACTTCTCTGACATGCTTTCCGGTTCCCTGTTTCATCAATCACTTAAATGTTGTATAACAAGAGTAATTAAGAATGAAACAACTGCTTTTTTATGGCTTTAACATGCTATTTATGCTAACTACACCTTTTAAACCAATTCATATCATTTTTTGACATTTCAGACTGCATACTGAACTGCAATCATAGAGTTTATGAATCAGTTTTAAAAAATATTACAGAAACATATAGCCATGACAGACTTCTTACTCATCCTCTTGAGCTTCATCCCTTTGAAAGAGAGCTAGAGCTAGATACTTACATCTGAAACCATGGCAGTTAAGAATTCTGCTAAAGAAGGAAACTCCAAGGTTTTCCTAGTTAAGTAGTAAAAAACATATTTATCCCTGCTACCAAACAAGCTTCTTATTTGAAGCCCTAGGAAGTGTACCCTGTAATATTTTACAAGACAAGCTCCTAAACAGAAAGAGGCTTACTTTATCCTAAACTCTAACCCACATCTTCTCTGTTCCAGAGTTTTCAAGTCAAGTTCTTTCCTCATTTCTCCCAGTGCTTTGTGAATCTCACTCCTCTCTCTGCTGGACTTTCTTCAGCCTACCTTTACATTTCAAAACACCAAGCCAGAAGCATGACTGAAGCTGAGCTCTGACTACTAACACCAGGAAACTCCTGAGAACTTGAATTGCTAGATCTACACATCATAATATTAGTTTTGTATACATTTAAGTGCATTCACTCCAGCTAAAATATTACCCTTTTTTGTTTTGCAACTTGTTCAAACTCTGAAACACCACTGTACAGAACTTATTCTGCTGAGACTGCCCGCATTATTGATTCTGCCCATTGAACATTGGTTAAGTTAATTCTTCTGGGTATAACACACTCATCATGTTTTCAAACTAAATATTAGATTGCTTTTCTGATTTGTCATAACTAGGAGTCTCCAAGCTGTTCAATCCACTCTTGCACTACTATACTGTCAGTCTCCCTTCTTGGCCAGCTCTCAACACTTTTAAAAGTGGTTATTTATAGTCTACAAAAGCAATA